CCTCCACATCTGTGTCGCTGTCCACCCCCAGCATCCCCTGCCCGATTTTGGGCCTCTCCACAGCTGGATTTGGGGTCTCCGCCCCCACATCTGGAATTCCGGCCGCGTTTCGGGTCCTTCTGCTCCTTTTTGGGGGCTGCACATCTGGATCTGCGCCCTCCTCCTCCACATCTGTGTCGCTGTCTGCCAGCAGCGCCCCACGCCGCGTTTTTGGGTCCCGAACATCTGGATTTGGCGTCTCCGCCGCCACATCTGGAGCTTCTGGGACGTTTTGGGTCGTTCTCAGTCGTCGGGGGGGCTCCACATCTGGATCTGCCTCCTCCTCCACATCTGTGTCACTCTCCACCAGCAGCGCCCCGGCCCCGTTTTCAAGCCAGGAAACATCTGGATTTGGGGCTCCCGGCCCCACATCTGGAGTTTCGGGAACGTCTTGGGTCATTCGGAGCCGTTTCGGGGGCTCCACATCTGGATCCGGCCCCTCCTCCTCCTCCTCCTCCCCCACATCTGTGTCGCTGTCCACCCGGAGCGCCCCACCCCCGTTTTTGGCCCACAGCACATCTGGATCTGGGGTTTCTGCCGCCACATCTGGCGCCTCCGAGCTGTCCCGGGCCGCTCTTGGCATTTTCGGGTCCCCAACATCTGGATCTGGCCCCTCCCCGGCCACATCTGGGGCGTCCCGGGGGCAGGGAAGGCGTTTGGGGGGGGCTCCAACATCTGGGGGCACAGCTGGATCCTCCAGGGTGCTGGAAAGGGGGGGGGGGGAGTTCAGGACCCCCCAAAATGACCCAAAGAGCCCCAAAATCCCCCCCAGGAACCCCCAAAATGTCCCCAAATATCCCAAAAAACCAACCCAGGGACCCCCAAAAATGTCCCAGGGAAGCCCAAAAACTCCTCAAGCTGCACCCAAATATCCCCAAATCCCACAGGGATCCCCCAAAAAAGATCTGAAATCCCCCCAGGGAACCCTAAATCCACCCCAGGAACCCCCAAACGTCCCTCAGGGACCCCAAATTCCACTCAGGGAATCCCAAACCCTGTTCAGGAACCCCAAATTCCCCCTCAGGGACCCCAAATTCCCTCAGGAACCCAAAATTTCCTCAGGAACCCCCAAACTTCTCTCAGGAACCCCAAACCCCCCTCATGGATACCCCAAATTCCCTCAGGAACCCCAAATTCCCTCAGGAACCCCCAAACTTCTCTCAGGAAATCCCAAATTCCCTCAGAAACTCCCAGTCCCTCCTCAAGGACCCCAAACTTCCGTCAGGAACCCCAAAACTCCCCTCAGGAACCCCAAATTCCCTCAGGAACCCCAAATTCCCTCATGGAACCCCAAATTCCACTCAGGAACCCCAAACCCCCCTCAGGAACCCCAAATTCCCCTCAGGAACCTCAAATTGCTTCTGGGAACCCCAAATTCCCTCACGGAAACCCCAAACCCCCCTCAGAAACCCCAAATTCCACTCAGGAATCCTAAAATCCCTCACGGAAACCCCAAACCTCTCTCAGAAACCCCAAATTCCACTCAGGAACCACCAAACCCCCTTCAGCAACCCCACATTGCCTCAGGAACCCCAAACTTCCCTCACAAACACCCAACCTCCCTCAGGGACCCCCAAATCTCCTGGGGAAGGCTCAAATTTCTCTCCGAAACCCCAAATTCCCAATCCAAGCCCTCAATCTCCCCTCAGAGACCCCAAACTTTCCTCAGGAACCTCCAAACCCCCTCAGAGATTCGCCTGAATCTCCCTCAGGAATCCCCCAAAATTCCCCCCCTGAGGCCCCAACCCCCACCAAGGACCGCTCCAATCCTTTCTGTGACCCCTAAATCCTTCCGGAAAACCCCAGACCCCCCCGGATCCCAAATCCCCCCAAATTCCCCCCAAATTCCCTCAGGGTCCCCCAAAAGCGGCCGCGGCCCCCCCCGCTCACCCCTCCCGCGCCATCACAGCCAATCCCCGCCCCCCGCGCTCCCATTGGCTGCTCCGTCCGCGCGCCAACGCCTATCCGCTCTTTCCATTGGCTGTTGCGCGTGTCAATCATCACCAGACCACCGAGACGGGGCGGGGCGGTCCTCCGAGAGCGCCAGAGCGCCGGTGGGAGGGGTTTAAAGAGAGATTAGACCAATGGGAGAGCAGATAGTTTGATTGACAGCACATCTAACCAATGAAAGGGCAACAAGCGGGCGGCGCCGACCAATGGGCGCCGCGGCTTTGTCCTATATGAGCGCGCGCGAGGCCGCGACCGCCGCCATTTTCGCTACCGTCGCGTTCGCGCCTTCGCTCCGCTTTTAAAGGGGCAGCGCCGCCTCTTTACTTTTCTTCTCTCCCGTTCTCCAAGCGCTTCCGCGCCATCCGGGTGGGCCCGAGCCCTCCCCCCAAGCAGCCGCCGCCATGAGGGAGATCGTTCACATCCAGGCGGGCCAATGCGGCAACCAGATCGGCGCCAAGGTGAGCGAGCCGGGCCCCACCTCCCTCCCCTCCCCGCCGCGCCGACGTTGCCCCTTTAAGAAACCCCCCCCCCACCCCCCGCGCGTCGAGACAAAGGGTGACCCAAATCAGGGCGATTTTACCCCAAAATCGGCGTTTTTCCGCCAAAAAAGAGGCTCTGAGGGAAGGAGGCGGTGCTGAATTTTGCGGGTTTGGGGTTAAAATGCAAAGATTTTGGCGCTAAATGAGGATTTGTGGTGGCCGAACGCGCCCTCCCCCCCACGCGGCCGCAAAATGGCGGCTGAGGGCGGCGGCCCCGAAACGCGGCGGCTTCGCCTCAAAATCGCCTTCTTGGAAGTGTTGCAAGAAAAATAATTTTATTTTCTTGAGTTTAAATAGTTATTTTAAAATATTAGTTGCAAACGGCGCTTTTTGTCCCAAAGCGACGCGGTCTAATAAAGGATGGGCGGGGAAGGCGCCAAAATGGCGGCGAAGAGCTTTGAAATTCAAGGATTTAAACCCCAAATCATTTTTTTTTCCCAATAATTTAATTCTAATTAAATCTAAAATCTGATTTGATTCGTGGTTTTTACCGTTTTATTTGAAATACTGTTTTTTCGCACCTTAATCGGATGTTTTCACCCCAAAATTGGGTATTTTCGCCCCCAAAATGTGCTGTTTTTACGTCAAAACCGCTTCGTTTTACCTCAAAAATGCGGATTTTATATCTCAAAATAAAGAATTGTGACCCCCAAACAGGGCGTGACTCCCGGAGGGGTCAGACCCAAAAAAGGGAGAATTAAAACAAATAAAAAATTGCTCAATATAATAAAGATTTATAGCACTTACGAGATGCGTGACCGTTTTTTGCTCCAAAAATCAGATTTTTTTTGTTCCAAAAGGGGATTTTTATCCTTAAGAAATAAATTTTATTCATCTTTTAATCCGCGGGATTTTACCATGAAAATTGTATCTTTTTAAAGTGTGGATTTTAGGTTTTTAAAATTGCAATATTTATCCCCAAAATTAATATTTTTCTTATTTTTAATCTATTTTGTGTCCTGTAATGCTCCTTTTTACCCCTAAAAATGGATTTT